GGTAGCGCCCTGCCTGCGGGAGAACGGCGGAAACCCGGCTGCAGCCCCTTCGCTCTTGGTGAGCCGCCCCCATCCTCTCGGCCCCTCCTGTGGCATTCAGCTCTGCCGCTGTGGTTCTCTTCCTTCCCTGAGTCACCTTGCTCTGGCCCTGCGAGGAGGCGCAGGTGCCTGTTGAGGGGACCTTGTTGGCCCCGGCTCAGACCTGTAGGTACAGCGGGCATGTGGAGAGCACTGCCACAGGGCCAGGCTTGTTTAGGCACTTTACCGGAATCAACTTGTTTAATCTTCCTTGGGACAGGCGCTGTAACTCACACTTAGGAAGGAGTAACGGGAGGTGGGGAGGGTTACCTAACCACCCTACCCCCACCCAGGGATTCAAACCCAGAGGCGAGATTGGAACCGCTTACCTCTTAACCTACGTGTTAGAGCTGGGCCACCAATGGAGCCCCTCTTCCCGCCTTCCTTTCTCCACTCCCCATTCTCCATCTCCTACCCCCAAGGCACCCACCTCAATGCTCACCTTGCCAGAGCCTACCCTGTTAGTGTGAACATCGCTGGGAACATGTGTCTGTGCGGTGGTGTGTGCGTGTGTAACTGTGAGTATCACAGGGTGAAGGTACCCTCAGATCAGAGCATGCGCTCTTGGCCAGTTTCCTGCCGGGTTGTCATTGATGGGGATGATGATGACTGATGACAAATGCAGATAATGTTGACAGGCAATCCGTGTATAGTGATGGCTGTGTCACAGGACAATGGCACAGGCTGCTGGACCTCATGGAGGTTTTTCAGGCTTGACATCTGTGTGAGTGCCCCTTCCCGGGCTTTTGTCTGCCCCTAGCCTTGTTCAAGGTATCAGAGCAGCAGCCAACTTCCTTGCTGTCCAAGCCCCTCTGTCCCCGGAGGCTGGGCTAAGCTGCATGCCTTGGATCAGCCTTGACCAGTGGGCAGGGAGTGCTGAGTCTGGTGCTGCCCTGGCCCCTCACAGGGTGACTGTGGGACCTGCAGCCACATTGGCTGAGACCTGCCAGATCCCTCCACCTACAGTAGGCCAGCTCCTCCCACTACCTTGTTCCTCTAACTCCTTTTCAGCCAGACCGTGGCTCTGTCTACAGGATGGGTGACACCTTGCACCCCGGTGAGTGATTTTGATCCTTGGTGGGGACTATGGAGGTTCAGGAGGCCACAAAACCAGACAGCTTTGGATCCATCTCCTGGGACCCTCAGCTCAAGGCCCACCTGTGTTCTGAGGGGTCAAGCAAGGCTGTTGGCAGGGAATGGGGAGGTCCTGCAGGGCCACCTCAGGCCGATGCCCCCGTGCATAGAGGTCAGGAGGATCACTGGTGTCTTTACAGTTGCTAGTGGGAACACACTTGGGCACTTCACAGACCCTGGCCATACTCAGGTTCACTGGGGTCTGAGGTGGTATCTGAACAGCTAGGGCCTGGCAGGCGTGCCCAGACCTGCCTTGGAATTTTTGGAATAGCTGAAGGCAGAACAGCCAGCTTGAAGATGAGGGCAGTACAAACACAGAGCCACTGCTTAGACCCTCTTTCATTTCCACAGTCCTGTCAGAGCTGTCCCTAAGTGAGGCTTTGGGAAACTCCAAGGAGTGCTTCCTGTGTCTAGTATAGACAGTCCCTTTTCTGATGCCCCTGGGCAGTTTAAAGATTGGATTTCACTGTATAGAACAGGACAGGGCAACAGTGGCCAAGGCAGCACAGAGAGGGTAAGCAGGTTTCCCTGGGTTACATAGGAAAAGGGCCAGGAATCTAAGCCAGGCTTCTGACAGTCTGAACAGTCAGAGGCTGGGTATGCAAACCTTAAGTTGTATACCCTAGACCCCTTCTCTGAGTTAAAGGATTATTCTCTCTGGGGTTCATTCTGGATGGACTGCAGTCTGGACTAGGACCAGGGACCTACAGTTTAGCCCCTACCTGGGCTCTGGTGTACCCTGGACCCAGATCTGGCCCCCTTCACTGTATGGCCTTGCCTCTGAACCTCTCTGGGCTTTACTCTTGTCACTATAATGGTTATCTACTGGAACATTGCTGTAAGGACTAGAAGCAACTCTTGGTTGGTGGATGTTCTTGAGACAGAATCTCCCACTGTGATTCAGGTTGGACATGAGTTTACTATGTAGCCTAGGATTTTCCACAAATTTATGATCCCATCTCAGCCTCTTGAATGCTGGCATTACAGGCATGGAACACCATACCTGGCTAGAGGCAACACTTGGAAGGACCACCCTGGAGTGATAGCTGAAGAAGCAAGGGATCACCTGGGTCTTGAAGGACCTTCTTCAGGCATTTGGAGCTGGAGGACTTATGTGTGCTCAGTTGTACCTTTTCTGCTTACCAGTGTGCGCTCCTCAGAGAGACAAAGTAACAGTGGTGGGGCAGGCTGCATTGTCTCAGTGTAGAATAATTTATCATTCATTTTCAACCTACTTCCACAAAAGGAAATATGCAGTGAACCTCCCTAAGGATGCGGGAGACAAGAACTCTGCTAGATATCTGCTTAGATAGAAGATGATATTTAATTAAATTTAGCCTGGAGATTCCTAGCAGCCAAGGTAGAAAGGGAAGTAAGATGGGCCACGTAGCTGCCATTTTCTGTCAAAGTGAAGAATCTGATTTATTTAGGGGAGATACTTCTTTGTCACAAAGAATCCAAGAGTAATTTTCAGAGACTTCTCACTGAAGAGCCATCAATATTAAAGACAGTTGTTACTGGGTTTTCAGGATTTTCTTGTGACTCCTCCTGATCCTGAATAAGCAGATATTTTAGGGTGTCAGAGTGTCTGAGGAGCTGTAACCCCACTGAACTTTAACATGACTTGGTAGGCTGAGTAGACCTCGGGCTGTCTTTGTCCACCATGCCATTGGCACTGACCAGTATGCCATCATCAAATGTGGAACTGAGCTGCTTGGCTGACTAGCTAATCAGGTTGCTGGATGAGGCAGATGTACAGCTTTCACATGCTAGGAGAAGGAGGAGCTGACTGCCGTGTAAATTGTTATGGGCACGCTTTCCCTGTCAGTCTTGATGGTAATCTATAGTACAGCACCCTACTAAGTGGTTGTGGGCTTAAAGGAGGCAAGTTAAATCACATGCTAATAGCAAAAGAGTGTTTCAGATGGAGGAAGATGCATTAGCCAACATTCTCAGCTGCAAATAAGAGAAAGAAATTGCCTATTGAAACAGAAAAGATTGGTGGTCATGGCCAATGCGTGGCCCAATCACACCAGTAGTCTGGGTTGGTGATGACATCTCTGCCACTACTACCTTCTACTCCAATCCATCTACCCTCAAAACTGCATATCACTGTCATTCAACACCGAAGTGGCTTATTTGAACTGAAATATCAGCTTCCCATTGCTGTCTCACCTTAAGCCAGGGCTGCAGCTGTCAGGCTCTGTTGGGTGAGAGGCACTCGGCATCTAGAAAAGGATTACTTGGCCTCTTCTGCTTGCTTGGTGGAAAGCTGGTAAGGTGAAGTGCACAGGGACAAAGGTTGAGAAACCAAGAAGAGTGAATGATGGGAGTCCAGAAAAAGTAGCCAAGCTTTGGATGCTGAGACGGGTTTACCAGAAAAAGGTGCACCTGGCTTCTTTCTCGCAGATTTTCTTAGAGTTGAGGCATAATCTCACCAGCCTGAGGTGTGGATGGAGGCTGGCATCTGCCTCACCTGTTCTGAGGCAAACTGCTAGGATCTGGAGACCAAGAGGCCAACACGTGGCTCTTGTTAACATTCGCACTCCTAACTTTTCCACCCCGCTCAATCCAACACCCAAGGTGGCCCAGTTCTTGTAGATGAACCTGGCCTAGACAGTTCCATTCACTTTTATCTCCATAGTGTCCGAATCGTCCCGCCTCCCAGCATGCCCCGGGCTGCCGTCCAGGGCGCCCCCGCGCAGAGCATGGTGGGAAGCAGGCCATCTCCCGGCCGTGTCATCCAGAGGTGCACTGTGCTGCGTCATCTGTCTGGTCCCTGAAGATACCGCACCCTTTGTGCGGGGCACACTGAGTGCTTTGGTTGAGGAGGGAGAGAAATGAGGGCAGGCTGAGGCTAGGTCCCGCTCGCACCCCCTCCCCGCCGGCCACACCCCTTGGCACGTGATTGTGCTTGGTGCCCTGTGCCCCAGAGAAAGATGTGCTGGGTTTCGCTTACTGTCTTCTCCCTGGTTATCCCTGTCTCCTAAAGGAGGCTGGCGAAGTGTGATCGTTTTGTCTGTGTTTCAGACAGGGTCTTCCGTGTAACCAGGCCAGCCCTGAATTTGCTATGTAACCCCAGACTGGATTCAAACTTAGGATCCTCCTGCCTCAGCCTTACAGGTGTTGGAATTACAGCCAAGCCCCAACACACCTGGCTCCAGAGTTGCTTGTTTTGTTTGTTTGTTTGGACTCGCACCCTTGGCAGGCGCCAGAACAACTGAGCTAAATCCCTGGCCCTCCAGAGTGTTTTATAGAGAGCATATTTTAGGGATTCTGCTTGTAAGATAGGAGACAGAATGGGGATTTAAGAGGCAGCCACTAACCAGGATTTTTTTTTTTTTCTTTTTCTTTCTTCACAGGACAGGGTAACCACAGAGAGAACAGCCCTTTTCTTTCCCCCTTGGAGGCTTCCAGAGGAAGTGACTACTATGATAGGAACCTGGCACTGTTTGAGGTAGCTGAGGAGCCATTCTGGGCCACAGGTGTGGCGGGCAGGTGGGCAGGCAAGGGCCTGACAGGGGCCTCTCATCTAAGCAGGGAGTCTGGATAGTGGCTCCTCCCCCAGTCTCCTTGTGTGTCTGCTCCCTTGGCAGCCAGGCTGCGATTCCTGTTGCCCTTAGAGTGAAACTACTCTCCCAGCGGCCACTCACAATCCAATCTCCATTGCCATCTCCATGACTGTTCACCTATGCCTTCCTTTCAGCCTCTCAGCACAGGAACCACCCCTGTCAGAATTTCCTCTTTATGCCCCACTCAGAGGACTTTTGTCCATGGTTTGCCTTTCTCCCAGGGACTCTTCCTTGTGTTTCCTGGTTGACTCCTTCAGTTCTGACCCCCTCTAGTTGACTGAGGCCTGGTCCTTCCTCCTGCATCTGCCCACACCCTCCATATCTGTAACCTCAGCAGACACCTCTCTGAAGAAATTTCCTGATTTCCCAAATTTTCACCTCTGAACTTGATTTTATCCTTTCCAGACTCAAGCTGAGAAGATCTGGATTTAAGACATGGTTTAGGCTCCTAAACTCAGACCCACATATTCACCTGCCCCGTGGCTGAATAATATAGGCTTCTCAATGTCCCTAAAGACCTGTATCTTCACTTCCTTATCCCCCCCACCCCGCCCATACATACACTGTGTGTAGAGTCAGAAAGGAGCTGACCAGCAGGAAAAGGCTGGGCAAGTGGTAGGTGGGGGCCCAGTACTGAAAAGGCCATAGGGGCAGGGAAAGCCTAGGCCCTACTGGGATCTGGGGTCCTGAGCCCTATAAGGTCTCTGACCTGGAAGAGCAGCAAAGTTCTGCACCAAGCCCTTGATCTCTGCCCTACCCCCAGGACAGGCTGGGGACCAGGATCCCACTTTGGGGCTATTCACAGGATCCAGGGCTTGTGGAGAGACCATCCAGAAAAGTCAGGGTTTGAGCAAATGAGAGATCTCTCTTGTCCCGGATATCCCTCTTTTGTCTTCCTTGGTTCCCTGAGGTGACTAGGGTGGCTTTTTTGTGGGCAGATATGAGTCCCAGAGGCCCACAGCTGGGAGGTGGCCAAGCAGAGCAGGCAGGAAGAAGTGGGATTTGCCTGCCAATCTGCCAGCCATGTCTGCCCTTCCCTCAATCCCTTGAGGCGGGTAGTTTTCACAGATGGGCTGGCAGTGATTGCAGCCCAGGTGGGGCAGAGAAAAGCAGCCGCTGGGCTAGGCCTTTGAGCGCCATGTGCTTGGGTGTGGTGCCCACACCTACCCGTTTGTCTGGCCTGGGCTTCCCCAGGCAAGATCTGGGATCAGGTCCAGGCCTGCCTCAGGGCTTGGCACAGGGCCATGGGTCAGGCTACTGGCTACATACAGGTAGCCTGGCACCAGCCTGGCCCATTGCCATCTTGCCCCGTGGCTCTGTTTACAGGAGGAGCTGGACATCCGCCCAAAGGTATCATCACTTCTGGGCAAGCTCGTCAGCTATACAAACCTCACCCAGGGAGCCAAGGAGCATGAAGAGGCTGAGAGTGGGGAAGGCACCCGCCGGAGAGCAGCCAAGGTGAGCCAGTTGTGGTGAACACCAAAGAGCCACACCTGGGGGAGCCAGAACACCATGGAAGTGACTTTCCCCACAATACCAGGGATGGAAAGAGGATGAGCACTAAGAGCCTTGTGCTCAGTGAGGCTTCAGAGGGTGGGCTAAGGAGGAGCTCCTGAAGGGAGCAAAGGGCCAGGGGGGCCTCGGAAATAACAACAGTTTCCTGGTACAATCTGCACACGCTGTAATACATCATACTATGAGTGGACTTGGGTTCCCACAAGATATCCTGTGAGCTAGAAGCCAGACCAGCCTGTCGCCCATCTTCTGGGGAGGCTTAGGCAAGAGGATGGCTTGAGGCCAGGAGTTCAAGATCAGCCAGGGCAACATAGCAAAACCCAGACTCCAAAAACAAAAAGTTGTAAGGTAGATGCTTTTATTATCTTCTTCTTTTTATTTTTCGCTCCTTCTATTGCTTATCCAAGCTGTTAAGCCTGCCCCATCTATCTGCCTGTCTGCCTGTCTGTCCCTGTCTCTCTCTACCTCCCTGCCTCCTCTCCCTGTTTCTCCTTCTCTCTTTCTCTTCTCCCTCACCTCTCTTCTTTTTATTTTATTATTTTATTTTTATTTTTGGCAGTGCTGAGCCCAGGGTCTCATACATGGTAGGCAAGCATTCTGTCACTTCTGAGCTACATCTCTAACCTTTTACTGTTTGTTTTGTTTTATTTTGTTGTTTTGAGACAGAGTCCCACTGTGTGTTCCAGGCTGGCTTTGATTTCTCCTTCCTCTTTCCTCAGCCTCCCAGGTGCTGGGATTAGTTATATCCCACCATACCTGGTTCATCTTCATTTTCAGATGAAGAAACTGAGTGGCAGAGCCTTAAGTAACCTGTCTGAGATGAGTGCATAGTACTGGAGAAAGATTTGTGTGTTGACTGTGAGATGTAACTGAAATGCCTTATCACTGGCATCATATCAGGGTGGCTAGCCAGAAACCTGGTTGTCCCTGGGGGCTATGAAACGTAAAGCAAATGACAAACCCTCCTGCCCTTCCCTTGGTTGACCCAAGGCTCCACTTACAGATTCCTCTGGTATCCCCTGGGTTCATAAAGCACCAGGGGTGGGGAAACATATACATATGGTAGGAGGCTGGTACTTCCCTAGTGGGATTCCCGGTCCCATCACCTACCTGCTCACTTTCCGGTTCTGGCTTCAGCCTTCCTCTGACTTTAGCATCCTTGCTTAGCTCCTCTGTGTAATGGCCCTCAATTTAACTGAGGGTCAGAAATTTCCTATACATTTTGGTAGCAAGGTGAGGGGCCCTTCCTCTCTACCTCCTGCCTCCCTGAGGTTTGGGAGTGCAGCTGTCTGGAAGGAGCTAGGGTTTGGTTGTGGGTGTAGTGTTTTCTTTGCAGATGAGCACAAGCAAAAGAAACTCCTTTAGGAATAAATCATCTTCAGCTTCAGGCCCACTGTGAGATCTTGGCCCTGATGGTATGGGCTCAGGAGAGAAGGCAGAGCAAGATGAAGTGCATCCCTCACCTTGACTTTCCAGGAGGCAAATCTGCCTACTCTTTAGAGAAAACAGCTGGTATCTTGAGGTCACACAGACTCAACCCCTATTCTTTCCAGCTAGTTATGATTTTGCTGGTATGTTCTGGACTAAAGATAGCACAGAACCCTGACTATCTCAGACCACGCCTACCCAGCGTTGCAAGAGATGGTCTCAGCTCCTAATGTTGTTGCCTACAGTGGGTGGTAGGACTCACGCGCAAAAGCCTCATCATGCCTATCTATTGAGACTGAGCCAGGATGGGAGTGAAAAGGCCCCAAAGGAGGGCTGTTACACATCTCAGCAGGACTATGGTCCCTTGGCTTAACAGGAGTCTCTGAAGGTGTTGGGGTCCAGCCTTGGCTTAGCTGCCCCCTCACTGGACTCTAGGGTGAGGAGGTGAGAGGGTGCTTATGGGTTGCAGCCCCAGTTGCTCTTGCATGGAAGAAGGAGGAGCCTGGTCAAGCCCCCAGGGAGTCAGTAGGAAGCTAAGGATCTGTGTGCTGCATCCGTGGCTGCTCTGAGCTAGGACCTCGGAAAAGAAGATTAAAACAGGAAGGGTGGGCCTCCAATTAGCTATGCCAAGTCCCAGAAGCAGCCTCTCCCTGGCAACTACTCTGGCTTCAGCTCGATGACCTTCTGAGGCTGTCAGAGGTTATTTGGGGATGCAGAAAGCATTTCCGGCCCTGCCCTTTCCCACACTGCCCTTTTCTTAGAGTGACTCAGCCTAGGATGGGGGTGGCACTAGGAACTCTCACTGCCACTGTGTAGTGGGTACTATCTGAGAAGGGCTCAGACAGAGAGAGCCCAGATGCACTACAGATCACATCACCCACACTGTCCTGTGCAGGACAGTGTGAGGGAGTGTCTGTTATTGCCCAGGCTCTTCTGAGGTCCTTTAGGCTGCACACAGATCCTGCCCCAGGTCTGGACCCTACAGGAGAGTTCCTGTGGCCACCTAGCTTTCTCCCTACCCAAGCTTCAGGACAGAGGAGGCTTGGCTGGGCCTCCAGTGGATGTTCTTAGGGCACCACTGCTCTGGGCTGTACCAGCCCTGCCTCTGTGCACACAGCATCTGCCCTGGCCCCCTGGCTGGCTCTTCCTTGTCTTTACTGCCTTGAGAAATCCTAC